ACTCGTCATTTGAATCACAACCTCTTTTAAGAGTAATTCCTTCTCCTCATCTTGTGGGTTGGAGTTAATTCTATAAGGAAAGGAAAGTCCATCATTATCATCCTGATTATTCCAATCACATATCTGATTATATTGATTATTTTCCCACAATTGGTTTTCTCCTCCAAAATTGTTATTCCAGTTAAATTTTGAATAATTTTCCCAACCTGGGTTATAATAATCAAAATAAGGACATTATAACTCATGTCTAGTTTCAAAAGAGTCAGTCTCAATCAATTGTCCAAATGAATTTTCCTCAATTTAAGAGTAATTCCTTCTCCTCATCTTGTGGGTTGGAGTTAATTCTATAAGGAAAGGAAAGTCCATCATTATCATCCTGATTATTCCAATCACATATCTGATTATATTGATTATTTTCCCACAATTGGTTTTCTCCTCCAAAATTGTTATTCCAGTTAAATTTTGAATAATTTTCCCAACCTGGGTTATAATAATCAAAATAAGGACTTTATAACTCATGTCTAGTTTCAAAAGAGTTAGTCTCAATCAATTGTCCAAATGAATTTTCCTCAATATTTGGGGGCCTTTAAGAATAACTTTCTATATATTGATCTAACTTCCTAGCAATATCAGCAACTTGAGAAGTTAAAATAATCAGCATATTTTCATGAAAATTCGCTACCATATTGGGGTTTACTTTATCGAAGCTACTAGCATTATAATTCAAAACTAAATAGTCATAATTTTGTTGATCCATCATTTTTACATTAAATTCATGCAGTCTTTTCTTATTCATAATCCTCTTAAAAGTTCTCTCTCGATCTGAGTCGTATAATTTAAGGTTTGTAGCTCTTGAACTACTCATACAAATCGAAAGGCTTAACTAATAGGATATATATCAAAATTTTTTTTTTAAAATATACACAAAATAATTAAAAACACTAAAATACTATAATTTCTAAATCTAAGTCTTATAGGTTTAACTAAAATTCTCCTAAAAGTTCTTACTGAAGCTTCCCCGGCAACGGAGCCAAAAACTTGACTCGACCCACAATTACACAGTAATTTAGCTTTCAAAAGATGGCAAAAAAACTTGACTTAATTTATATTTAGCGACTAGTGTGTAAAATCGAAATGCTATAAAATTTAGAAAATAGTTTACACACTTAGGTACTACATAAGTATACGTATCAGTTCAAGTAATATAGGGTTATCTTTTAAAACTTCAATATCGATCCCACAGAGAAGCGAAGTAAGAAATCCCTTAGGCTAATTCTAGTCTACTACTATCAGGCCTCAGTTTGGAATATCGATTAAAGTGATTTTTGTAACAACTATTCTTAAATAAAAATATTAAAAATCTGAAATAACTAATAAGGATAAATTGGTTTGGAAAATTTTGAGATGTTAAAGAGTACCTTTCTTTTGCAATAACCTAGATAATGTGAAGGAATGAAATGTTTACAATTTAATGTAGTCAGTGACAAATAGGAGTATACATATTATTTACCCCCTCCTGGTGTTAACAAAGAACATTGTCTAACTTAAGGCTGATTCCTTAACATCTAGATTCTACATCAGAACTATCTAGCCTCTCACCTCTAGATGCCCCTAAGCCATGCTACTATCATGATCGAATCCCAACGTCAGAGTACTAAACTTTAAGCCAAATTGACAAAAATCTAGTCTGTCACTCTAGAACTAACCATTTCTACACCCATAAAAACTTATCTCTCTATTTATTTGTACTCCCCTTAGATGATCACCATGGATCTGCCTAGAATGAAGTGCGGTATCCACCAATTGGGTGAAATCATGACCCTCCCGAGTCATTATGTTTCTTAATAGATTTTAACCTCACAAGTGATCAGTTTGCAAATCAATTAAAATCCGGTGAAAAATACCATAACATTAATAAATTAGAAAAATTTCTAAGCAAATCTAAATTCCTAAGCATGAATCTATTTCTTTGCAAAAGAAAAGTAAAATGAAGATAATGACATCAACAGTAAAAAGAATTGATAGAATTAATTAATAAGTTATGTGTCAATAAGGAGTATATGTCCACCTACCCTCTTTCGAGCATATATGTATATTTAGTTTTCTATTAATTTTATGCAACTATCTGTCACATAGAAACATCTAATAGAAACAGCTCATTAAACTATAATTTCTTAAGAGTTGCATTTCCAACTAACCATTTTACTAGTCAACCGATCAATGTGAGTGCACTCAAGATGCAAGATCACTGCTCTCCCGAGTTTTAGTTTCACATACAAAAAATTTTAACATAACTTATTGCCACTTAAGTTATGTCAATGAAATAAAGGTAAAGGAGATATTACTCATCACATAAAAATAACTCTATCATAAAACAAATTTTCTTACACATGCTACTATTTCATATTATAAGAAAAGAGTAAAGAAAATTACTTACAAAATATGGATAAAAAATAACAGAAAACTTCATTTAGATCAAAGAAAATCCACTAGAAAGTGTTTACAACAATTACAAGGAAATGAAGAACACAATACTTAGCCTTTTCCTTCTGAAAGAAAGAAGAAAAATCTCTCCAAGAAAGTCTCCCATCGATCCATGCGCCGCTCATACTTCCTTGCTTATATCTCTCAAAATTCTTCACCAATCTCTCCAGAAAATGAAGAAATATACATCTCCATAAAATCAAGCCAAACTCCTCTTAAAACACTTCCTAATGAAGTCTCTAGAGTCCCCTAATTACTTTCCATGAGAGGCACCAGGCCCCTCTATTTAAAGAGGAGCCAAACACCTCCTTTTTCCAAAAGACACACCCTTTCATCCAAGAGACACACCCTTTCACTCCAAGAGACACATCTCTACATAAAAAATCTTTTCTAGGTATCTAGATTCATTATATCACTCCATGGGGCATGCAAGTTGTAGGTATCGAGATTCATTATATCACTCCATGGGGCATGCAAGTTGTCCAGAAGCTTCCAGAACATCTCAGAATGACCCAAAATTGCCTAAAAACAGTCCAATAACCGTCCCGGGTGCTATAAAGCAAGTGTGTAGCACTATAGCGCCTGTGTCTGGCGCTATGCCTCCATTCTGGGTGTTATAATGCCACCCTACGTGCAGCTTCATTGTTTCACCTCGTTTCAACTCCATTTTGTCCCGTTTTAGCTCCGTTGAGCTTCAGATTGGTATACCTACAAGATATACATGAAACCAATCTTTCTTTAAAGTGTAATTTCATTGAAAACATGGAATAAATATGAAGAAGATTAAACATGGAAAGTCATATCAAAATGCGTCGTATTAGAATTTTCTTCTTCGCTCAATTTGGCTCCAAATTGTATTGTTTTTTCTTAATTTCCACCAAAAGTCCATTTCTTGTACCTAAAGATAAAAATATGCAAAACACCTTTCGTTAAATTCATATCATTAAAAATGTGCATAAAATGAGCACGAAATGTACATTAAAAAATATAATTTTTAGGTGGATCAGATGTCAATGATGAGACGTTAGACCTGATGAGTTATTCTAGATGGCTAGTTTGTAGGTATTTGTTGGTGTGACATGTGAAATCCTATAAAAGACAACCACGTTCCTTTCTTTTTTTTTGGTGATACTTTTTTTAAGTTTCTTTTGGATAATATTTTTTGGTGATATGCATATGTAATACACAATTTTGGTATTACGTGAGTTAAAGACAACTAAGAACCTTTTTTTAACAAAGTATGTTGTCTTCTTGTAGAGACAAATTTGTTGGTCGGTATGCTGAGTTCTCTAAGACCTTATGCTTGCACAAAAATTGTAATTAATTATTTCTTTTATTTATTTCTACTAGTGTTTTGACTAATGGAAGTTTTTTAAACCATTAAGGAAAGATGAGTTCTAAGATTTCTTGGACCTCCCGAGGAATTTCGTGTCATTGTGGACTCATACTTCTTTGCTGACATCGCGTCAGCCACATAGCTACGGGAAACAATTATACAGTGCTCTCGGAGAATCATGGAGAAATGTGAGTTCTTCCGGTGGACAGACAGCCTGCAGGTTCTACCGTCTTGAGTGATCGAGAATGAATAGTATCCCTGGAGGACAATGTAATTCGTGACATACGTCGTTTGCATTTTAAAAATAATATTATCGTATTATTAAATGTTATTTTAATAATCGTGACACTTACTGTTAAGTAAGATGCATATCTTCTTTTTTATACTGTTCTGAAATGGATTTGTACTTCTGAAGTATCAAATATATTGCTATAACAATTCTGTTACAAACAACATTACTACACAGAAGTAGAATGATCATTTGTATAGAAACAACAGCCGCACAACTGTTTTCAAACTGCAAAAAATAACCAGTCAGTCATCTTATCTACAACAATTTATTAATAAGCTGCAGCTACCACAAATAATCCCTAAGCATAGTAAATATACTACTAGAATCCTGCTGCACATTTCTAGCTTTATCACAGAGAATTAACGCTAGGATTGCTGCCGAGTTCTTTCATTTTATTTTATTTTCTTAACTTTTCCATGTTGTGATGGTAATTTGCTTCGACTTTTTATTGCTTTAGCAAACCCCAAAATTAAATTAATTTTTTTTCCTGAGCTACTCCATAAAGTTATATTTTATGCAGCCCATTCTAACCACTTTTTTATGGGTTCCTTCTCCTTGCAAATAAAATTGAGCTCTACTATTATTTCAATAAAAAAGGGGTGATTACATACAAGAGCACCCAAATCATTACTATTTACAAATCTAATATTCTCTTTCTTCCATTTTCTTCCATTCTTAATTCTCCCTCAAATACCAAAACTCATGATAAAACTCTAATTCATATTCAATTTTTACTACAATCTTAATTATTTAGCCATAAATGCATCCAAGAATGGTTTAAAAAATCACATCAATACTTGATCCATGTGATTTGTTAATGTCAATATTTTGTAATGAACATAAATAAAAACGACCGCTTCCTATTTCTGAGCATTCGCTACGTGCTTCCGTACTGACACGTGCGGATATGCTCTCATATCATAATCATCCATTCGAGCAACCATGGCGGTGTCGATGTGCGATGGATCGGACAGATGCCGAAATCGAGGAAGAGGAAGGTGAGATGGGAAAGCCTAACCTGGCCGCCGCCGTCCAATGCCGTAGTGGCTCGATCGGAAAGAGGGTTGCCATCGCCGGAGCCGCAATCATGTCCGCGCCCGTCATAATCCCCTCCATTTGCTTTTTATCAGGTTTAGGTCTCCTTTTCTCCTTTCCCTTTGGAATCTATATGGCCGGATGCATGTGCGCAGATAAAATTATGAGCGCCCTGCTTCCTATACCACCTTTGAAGCAAGAGGCGGACGAAGAGTTACTGGAGTCGGAGGATTTGATAGAGAGAAACTTTGATGGTGACAATGGACACAAAATGTTTCTTGAACCCCCAACGCTGAAGTCGGAGGATTTGTCCTTTATTGAGCTAAGTGGGGAAGGAAAGGCTAATGATGCTTTAGTAACGAAAGAACAGAGGGAAGACGGTGGAGAAGAGGAGGAGAGCCTAGGGTTCTCGGAGGAGCGCAGGACTGATGCATCCACATTGAAGTCTGTCGGTGTTTTGTCTTCTGTAATTGTTGCCTCAGAAGATGAAAATGCTGAAAATTTGGAAAAGGTTGGCTCTATGAAACTCACAAGTCTTGAAAAACCAGTTCCTGTTGGCGTGGATGATGTTGGTGTAACTGGTTTGCATTCCCACGAGGTGACCAATAGTCTGCAGGTTTTGTAATGCTTTCCAATTTATTTTCCTTTTTGTTTTTAATTACTTGATTCGTCAAAATGATCAATTTTGTTTGTATTATCTGTATTGAACTCAATTGAGAAACACTTAGGAGGTGTTTGGTAGCACACTTTTAATGGAATTTAGCTATGGGATTCACCTAAATCCAATCAAACATCAAATAAGAGAAAATCAAATCCAACTTTCCATTGAATCCAATTCTCTCCCGTTCTATCTCTGCGACGTAAATCCGGACTTATCAAATCCGATTATGAGGCGGATTATATGGATTTACATTGCCATTTCTAGCGTGCTCCACCGCCGCGAACATGCGGGATTTCGCGGATTTTATAAAACCTGTTAACGTAAATATGCGTCCGCGACCAAACACTACCTTAGGGGCTGATTGGTAGTCTGAGTTAAGCATGATTTATAAATATTAGATCTTGATTTATTTGTGAATTTACACCATCAAAAGAGCTAAAATAAGAAAATGATTACAGTACAAATAATAGGAAGAGTTTTGTGAGAAAATGATTGTCCCATCTCTCTCTCCCCCTCTCTCTCTCCCCCTCAATCTACAGAGTGAAGTTCCCTTATTCATTACAAATTAAGTATTTATTTAACTTAAATTTTAAGAAATCCTTAATCTATTCTCTTTGCCTTCTTCTGCTGGTAATAACTCATATTGGTAATGGTTCCCATGAATAAATTTTCTTGGATTTTTCACTTTTGGTAAAACACTCGCTGCCTTGCTCAACTATGAAGTGAGTTGGTGAATTCCTATAAGTCGCGTTGAGAAGTTTAGTAACGGAATTCACATTTAAGGCTACTTTTGGCCGACCTTAATGAAAGATAAAGATGAGTTTTCCAAGAGATACGAGCAGTGCCAAAAGTATGCTTCGTTGCAGCATTAGTCGGCCCACAAACTACAATCGATTATCAGTTTCTAGCCTTTCGATGTCTAGGGGCTTGACATCATCGGCTTGTTTCCTCCTTCAAATGGCTAATGGAAATTTCGTTTATTCATTGTGGACTATCTTTTAAAGTGGATCTAAACAATGGTCCTCGCTCAAATTATCACGAATGTCATCTGGTACCTCATCTGGACAGATTTTTCATTTATCGGTGTAGCTTACCAATCGTGTTTATCACCAGCAATGAAACACAATTCGCTGACCCAGGGTAAAGGATTTCTGTCAAATTTAAGGATTCAACCTGAATTTTTTATCTGTATACCATCTCCAAACAAATGGACACATTGCTAACAAAGTAATTTTAATTTTGCTAAAGAGGAAAGTTGAACGAGAAAAAGAGAATTGGGCCGACTTACTTTCGTTAGTTCTATGGGGCGTCCAAACGACGCCATCATCAACAACCATGTAAAACTCCTTACATGTTTACCAATTGATGGAAGCAATGTTATAAGTGAAGTATAACACTAAACTACCCCAGCCAGAGGGTTGTTATAGTGACAAGACTAAAACATACCGCAAAACAAGTTGGTTTCTCACGCAAGTATACGTGTCAAATAATAATGCGTTAAATAGTACCACGTAATGATTGTTTCCGTTCATTTATTTTAGGAGTCGCCAGCCTGTCAATCGTCATATACTTCTCTCTTTCGAATAAATCTCCCTCCCGAATCATATCAGTGATTCGAAGAGTAGAGGAACTGAATAAAAATAGACATATAACAACTCGACAAACAAGACAAAACACAAAACGTGGAAAGTCTACGTGCGGTAAACCTCGCAAAGATATGTTAAGTGTGTCCACCTAAACAAGATCGGGCGAAAGCACCTTAAACCAATATCCACGAAAGAATATTTACGTAAACTACTCAAAAAAATAGAGAGTTAGTTGTAGGTGTTTGTTCTGGGGTCATGAATGCTCCTAAGGGGACGTATCCCTATTAGTTAATTACATCTTTGGGGTTGCCCAAGAATACTCTTGATCCAAGGGGGTTTTGCTTGCCTGAGAGTGACAACTAGCACAGGGCTATCAAGGGAGGTTATCTTGTTGGAGGAATGCCCCGATGCTTCTAAGCTCCTACTAGACCACGGGGCAGAGTCTCTCACTGTCCGCAAATGTGTAACAGTCTTATCGGCATACACAACTTGTGAAATAATCGTATCATCTCGACGGGGGATCCCTACAAAGCACATCCAGACCATAATAATAGAGGATAAATTGTCGTATCCCAATTGGGCGATAGGGTGCTGCCAACTAAGGCAAAAGAGTTAAAAGGGCTCAACAAGGGTAATCAAAAGAGGGAAAGCGTAATATCTAGAAGGTAAAGGTAGTCAGATCAGGATACCACAGACCCGTCATCCCAAGCCACTAAGACCCGAAGTTTACCTGGTTGTGAAGGTAGTCGACCCAACACATTCTGAAATCCTCATTCAGCAAACCATGAATTACGACGTCCACGGGGAATCTCGATAGCCTTAAGGTCAAAGGAACGAAACATTTTCCTCTGAATATCGGATGGGGCTCCAAGAGGTGGGTCTTACACTTGGAAGTGGCGAGGATGCCTAAGGAAAGAAAGAGAAGTGGAGGTTCATCTACAAAGCTGAAAACGCTCCAACAAGTGGACATGCCCCGTCTGGATTGGGAAACCTCCTAACGCCCTAAGCGTGCTAGACAACCACCTAAGCGAAGTTATACTGTGCTAGTCGGATTGGAGAAGAATGAGGCTTCTCCTCGGGACATGTAAGTATGATGCAATTATCTATCACAATCCTACGCGTGGAAGTGCTATTAAGTATGATTGAGTTATAGTTAAACATGCAATCCATTTTTAAAACTGGCCTAAAGACTATACAGAAAGTAAAAACTGATTTTGAAAAATCTTGAAAGTTTTAATCCTAAAATTTTAGATTATATTCATCTTTTATTATTAGGATTTTTAAGTAGGAAGAATTAGAATTTTAGGATCATTAATGAGCCTATATTGCATTTTTCGTGAGGTCCAAATACACAGAAAAACAATATAAAGCGCTCTAAACATGCAAGACACACGAGGAGAAAAAGAAAAAGAAGCATTCCAGAAAAATACATAAAAGAGGCAAAATGCCGCTAGACCGACAACATAATCCAGGAAAATCAGTAAAAGCGATCGGACTTCACATATACATGCTCAGTCCTAAGTCTATTCAAGATCGGATTTCACATATACATGCTCAGTCCTAAGTCTATTCAAGAATGTAAAATTCGGACTTAAGGTACGGGATACGAGCTACCACTCCTAGCCCCTGTCACGTGGTTCAGTGCGTCATCTGTATCGAAACTCATGTCATACATTATTTCCGATACAGACTCTCATAGGACTCTATCAAATACATCTAAAAGAGAAAAAAAGGACTCGAACTGCATAAAACAAATGTAAGTGGGACACCATGCAACGTAAAATAACAAGCAGTGCCTTATAATCGAGGGAGTTATTAACACCTGAAAGCAAGGGTTAGAAAACATTACTTGCATCCGCATAATTGTGTGAATGTGTGAATATAGACACGATACCTGCAGAAGATCGCCCTAATATAGTATCACACACAACAAGAATACAAGCACACCGAAAAGCAAAAAGGTAACACATCACTAACACAAGATAGCACAACACATAACAATAGCTAAAGGTGTTGAAAAATACTACCTAGGCACTGGATAAATCGTCCTAGTGGCATCTCAATGGTGAACACCATTCCAGGCAATGACACAACCGGAAGAGGGGAATAGGCACATTATAACACATTGTTGGGTGTCAACCATATCAAATTTTACTAAAAAGAATGGCAAGTAATGTGTTATGTCTTAGGATTAGCATACTAAATAATTAGAAGTTATTTGCGCACGTATGTCAATGCAAGCCCCATGACTCGTTGCATGACCCTTCTTTTTGTACAACTCTCCATTTGGCCAAGTGGCAGTCCCCCAGTCTTTGCAAATTCCCGAAAATAAAATTGAATTATCCAATATTTGATTTTGTTTTCTAGATCGACCAAATGGAACTTTCGGATTAATCTAAAAAAGACGTAACTGCCAGGCTCTACTCTAAAAGAGAAAATATATGTGAACAGTTCCTAGAACTAGGGGATCTCCATCCACTCAAGTACATATTGAAGGTAATCACGACCGTGAGCATTTATCAGAGCTTGTGACAAAATGAAAGTCGAAGCCCCCACCGACAATCATCTCGGTAGAAGATTAGATCGTTGCCAAAGTCATTAGTCGCCCTCTCTTCCGGCTCCACTACCTTTAGTACTATACTTGTGTTATATACACAAATGTCATTGAGAAGCTCCACATTGAACAATGTTAGGGAAGATTTCTCGCTTATTAGCAACGAACCAAATAGTTGTAGAGAATATTTGGAAGTAATGGAAATTGCTTGAAATAAATCGACCCAAAGGAGTGACAAGAAATGACTATAGGGAAGGAGGAGAGATATTCGAAAAAACAATAACCCCCATTTTTCTTTGACCCTTTTACATTGGGTATTCAGGAAATTCGAAACTCCACAAATCCGTACCTTGATATCCATAAATTCACATGAAATCAGCATGAAAATTCAAGAAAAGAAAATGACATGAGAATTTGAAAATTTGTGAAATTAACTTGTTTTATTAAAGATAAGAAATATTTTACACTAGGGTCTTTATCTGTCTCGACTGATATAAGATCATGACTTACAAAACTCTGATATAAGGCTCACCCACCAAATTTAAATCTCTTAACACTCTTTTGCTCTGCCCAAATCCGTGAGATGAAATTAGTCGCCCAAACCTCTGTCAGCTCCATCCACAGAATTGCTAAGTCCCCCCAGAGAGCTGCCAACAATACCATATTTTCTTGATGAAGAGCTTTCAGTTCTTCCTATAGGTCTATTATGGTGATCTCCCTCTCAGTAAGCTTCCCAAGCAAAGCAGTTTATTGTTTTGTCCTACCAGTGAACCAGTGATGCTGAAGATCCTCGCTGACTGTCGGTTTTCTTCTCAACATCCTCAGGCCCACACAGACGTCCCGAGGCACCTATGCCACGAGCTATTACAGAAGGTCCCTCAGCCACCTATTGAACAGTGAATGGTCGGCTATCATCATCAATGAGTCGATGATGTACACAGTCTCCTCTGCAAGAATAATTAAATGTCAAACCAAAAACAAATCTACTCGATTAAAGAAAATCCAGTTTTCTCATACTAGTGATCCACTCCATTTCAAAGGATCGGATGCTCTCACCAAGAAGCAATTAGACATCAGGCTGGCTGCTCTCAGCAACCAATGGAAAGAGAACTGTACTCCAATGCAGCTGGACCTGGGTCTTTATGACCACCTAGATCGGTTGTTGAGCCACTCGTTCACAGATCGGCGCCAAGGCGAGGACCGTTGCACCTGTGGCGTGCACGTCCGCTCCTCCTCCTCCCCATTTCACAATGGAGCAACATTGAGTCAGATGACTCAGCCGCTTTCTGGAATCGCTCCTCCTCCTCCCCATTTCACAATGGAGCGACATTGAGTCAGATGACTCAGCCGCTTTCTGGAATCCCTCCACACAATGGACCAAATATTTCACCTACTTCTATCCGTCCAGTCAGATTCATCCTTATGGTCTCCTTGAGCTAACTGATCGTCCTTTTCCTTCTGGCCTCTTTAATATTATTGGTCGGCCCTCATCCTTTGGTTTCTTCCTTATCATGGACCAACTACACTCTAGTTTCTTTCCTGCATCCTTGGGAGGGTGGAATTTTTCAGTCGAAATTCCAAAGGTCTTCATCATGGCAGCCTCATTTACCGTCCAAGCAAAAGATTTCTTAATGTTTGTCATAATTAATCTCTCCTTAGAACAATTAACTGAAGGACAGGAAACTCAGAAGAAGTGATGGAGAAGTGCTAATCAGGCTCTATTTACATGGACTGTAGGCACGAAAATCCAAAAAGTTCATTCATTAAAAGCAGTTATTACACAATAAATAAGTCAATTTTTACAATTATTTCTTATTTTGTTGTCGCAGTTGTAGCTTTCAAGAAATTAGCAAATTGGAAAACTAAATATGTATATTAAAAATATAGCCCCACAAATCTCGAATAAATCTAACAATTTATGCTTGTGAACACCAAATGACTCTGCATCGAGATGACCAAAAGACAATAATGCAAAGCTTTGTTTCCTTTGGTTGGGAACTCTGAGCCATTATCGAATGAAGAAATAGAAGCAACCCAATTCAAGGGACAGTCGCTCATGACTAGCTCCCTTAGTTGATTGCGAAACTTCTCACAAAGTTGGCCAAAAGGCACTCTGCGGAATGTCTTTCTGATCCTCTAAGAAGGCCCTTGTCTAAGAAGAGCTGCCAGTCAGTCTTCATTGGTTGACACACCCTCTGCTTGAAGAACCAAGTTCATCTTAACAACATGAGGGTCTCTACTCATAATTTCTCTAAAAAGGGCGGACCGATGACCTTTTGGTTGACCAAATGTCTATCGGCTGACCAAATGCTATAAACTGACCAAGTGACAAGAGTATCAAGCCATTAAATGCCCTCTTCAAATAGTGTTGAATGCTAAATGTTGCAAATGTCAATTATGAATATAAAAAAGTGTCGAAGTCAGTTACAACAATGAAAAGGTTTAATAATAACTTATAATATCTCTATTGAACTAGGGAAAATTTATAATTTTACACTAGATATTCTTGAAACTTATAAATAAGAAGTCATTTCGAAAATAAGGACTACGGAATTTACTCTATCAAAACTCTTGTTATTATGCACTTTTTTCCTCTCGCTCTATTCTTCCCGTCCGTGCAATGCTATATATCTTGAGTGTGATTCACATGACATATTTGGATTCACACTAATAGTTCACTTTAGTATTTTATCCAGCATTTGTACCTTAGCTAGAAATCTAGCTTCATCTCAAAACTCATTGATATCTTCATTTTGTTCTTAGACATATCCTTTTCACATGTAGGTAGTAAGATATTATGTTCATTTGATACTCTTAACTCGCTATTGGTTCCATCAATTTCCATTCCTTGTTTGCTCATGAACTGTTACACTTAGTTTCATAATCTGCATGCTAATATTTAGTGTTTCAACAATACTTTTGCTTGCAATATGTCATTCTCCCGCAACGACTTCTTAACATAAGTCGTGTCATGATAAAATATGTTACTTAAAACTTGTCACTATTTATAATTTATGATTTTAACTTATCAAATTAGCTTTTCCTTTATGAACACTGGTTTTAGCTAATAATTCTGCAAATCCCAGAGAACAAGGAATGAGGAGGAGCAACTATGGGATCAAATTTTTTCAGTGAGAGCAATTGTGGGTCACAGAGCAACACTCCAACCTTCACTTGGCGAGGAACTAATGGTGCTGTATCGATTGATTGGAGTGGAACCTCCCCCCACTCTCAAGGACGCTACGGATATTGTAGAAATTAGCAACAGCCTTCAGGTTTTGAAATCTGTGGTTGGAGTCAATTAAACTGAATCATTCAAATGGTAAAACTGCTGCTCTTTTTTTCATTATGTTGTTTTGACAACAATTCTCAACATCAGTTGGTTTATTTTGTGTATAAAAATTGTTTCTAATGTCTTCTAGTAGCTTTCTAGCAGTGTGTTTTGTATCTGCATTGAGAACCATACAACTTCAGGATGGGATGAATGAAAATAGAGTATTTTGTTCAAGATAATCTGAGTCACTATAATGGGTATGAGAGCTAGATCTTAGAAGTAGAAGTTGATGAGCAAGTGACATCCTAAACGAAAGCTGTTAGTGTGAGAAAGGTGGGGTGATTGATGAGTTCTTGACGTGGTTTGTTTTATTTAACAATCGTTTGGGAGAAACTGGAACGTAAATGAACTGCTAAATTTTGAAAATGATGTTTTATTTGATTTATTATGAGCTGCTGGCTCTAATCTCCCATAAATGGAACAAATTAGCTTGGCCTTTATAATGGAACAAATCAACAAATGATAATTTATTATGAACCGCTAAATTTTGAAAATGGAACAAATTAGCTTTGCCTTTATGAGCTGCTGGCTCTAACCGCCCATAAATGACCCCTCTTGGGAAATTCTGTCACCATCTCATCTCCTCGACAATCGAACACCTCCCTTCCTAACAATTAGCCCAAGCCAAACATCATTCAGTTAATCACCTTATGTCGACAATCTTATCCTCTTGCTTAGGCTAAAGAACCACAAAACTGAGCTCCACTCCATTCGATTTTCGATCTCATCAGTCTCATGCTCTTTCTCTTCTCTGTATGAGGGGCAAACCTAAACACACATTCCACGTCATAGAATCAACAAATCATGTTTCCACCTTATTTCTGATGAGATCTGTCACTGCTCTGCCCCCATTTCTCTTGCTGACGAAGCCTTCTCATCGACAAAGCCATCACACCCGTGCTTCTTCTCCTTCCTTTTATACATCCATAAGAATACTGATATCTCACAAGACACTAAAAAAATTGAATTTTAAAAAATCGCAATCTCTGCAGCAACTTTACCTATTGACCTGACAAAATTACCGCTAACGCGGAGACTTTATTGATTTTCTTAAAAAACTATTTTTAAGTGTATTTAAAATATTGAATTAAAAAAAATATAATTTTTAAAATTTTTCCCTAAGATGATTTACATGCATGCTCCACATAATTGTTTCATTTAAGCATCTAACATTCAACTTCAAATACTACGTGAACATCACCTATCCTTGACAAACAGTTTAAGAACACAAGGTTTTGTTCATGTTGTTTACCTTCAGCACAACTGCAACGATTGACATGTGTTAATTTAACATGTTTTTTCCTTCCTTTATTCTTGCATTTTATATAGTATTTTACTTTATTTATCATGTATTTACACTTGTGGGAGGTTTTTGTTGATAATTTGTAGGTTAAAGGCAATCGTACAAGCATTCAAAATGAGGGAACTAAGAAAAAAGTGGTCTGAATTGGCATGACCACGCCTGGACTGGGCGTGACCATGCCATGATATCAAAGCTTGCGATGTGACCACTTCTGGATCAGGCATAACCTTTCCCTTCTTTCTGAGCCCCAGCATGACCATGTTAGGTTCGAGCGTGACCAAACTGCCCGATCAGGAAAGATGGAGTGACCATGTCAAAATTCGGTGTGACCACTCTGACGGAGCGAAAAATATTTTTGGAAAGAATTTTGCTTTCAAAATAAGAGAATTTGGCTATAAAAAGATACCTTAGGACTCCATTGATAGGGGAGAGGCATTCGGGACTACTGGAGACAGAGTTTGGGAGAATTGGAGAGCTTCTCCCTTACGATTTCTTCCTTGCTCAACATTGAGTCCTAAGTGCTCTACCTTTTCTTTTTCTCTTCTATTTTTCTTATGTGATTTTGAGAGGAGATTGTATGAGAGAAAGGATTAGTGTTTTGAAAGAGGGAACAAATTATTTTTGTATGTTTTTACTTTCATATTTTACTTGCAACAATGGTTTCTATAGATTTGATGTCCATCGTTATTTCTTACATGTCCGTCTAAGTTTTTCTTCATTTGATGTCCATCTTCCTGTTATTTCTTCCTCGATTTGATGTCCATCGTTAACGATTGTATTTTTTTGGTTTTCTCAGAATGTTTTTTCCCAGTAACATTTTGTCGAGCTTTCAAATCTAAGTTGTTCAATTAACCATCAAGTTCATTTACTCTTGATCTAGTCAATTCAGATGTTAACATATTTCGTGATCCACAAATTTTGTCCATTGCGTAGAGCAACAAATAATTAACCACAAAATTTAGATAAGAATGGGTATATTCTATTGGGATTTTATAACATATAAAAGGGATCAAAATGATCATGTGGAATGTAATGGGATCTAATTTTCTTATGATCTAGGCATAGACATAAGGAGAACTTTTTATCTCTGTTAACAACTATCACGTAGGTAAAACATATAGGTACACCACAAATCACCATGATACCTGCATCATAGAAGCGTGAGCCAAATCTCTCTTGAAGGAATATAAGATTTATCTTTTTGTGAATTTCCTTTATTTTTCAACCTCGTGCTTTTGTTTTTCAAGTAAGATTTTAGAAACTCCATCTCTTGATTGTGATCATGATGAACTAGATTTAGACCCTCAGTAAACTAGAGATTCGCCCTTCAGAATACTTCTTAGCCATTTTCTCATTTGATTGATGTGTGGTACTCATGAACCGCATTATTACTTAACACATATATTTACGTGATTAACCGACTTACTTCGTGATAAGTTTTCAACCATCAATGTTCTCCTCAATGCCCCACAGACTGGCGAATAAGCCATCTTGGACGCTCCGCCTCCGCTTTAACAGTTTCTAGAGGGTGACAGAAAAACACTTCTCTTCCCTCGTCTCCCACTTCAGCAGACCACACAAATTGATAAAAGGATGTGCCTATTCGCCCCCTAGTTGTGCTTATGAATCTGCTCCAGCAATCACAAGAGAAGTAAAATATCCTCATTCCTCTATCTTTAAATATTATTTAAGCACCATAACAAAGCCTCGTTATTGGTACCTATAATCCTTCACATGGAGACACTTGGAGGCCCAGTATCTGAGCACAACAACATTGCCATATTTCCCAATGATTGCTTCAGAGTTTAAAAGGAGCTATGGATCTTCGCTTTCGATCGATTTATTACCATGTCATTGAACTTCTCTAGATCGTCGCGAGCTCCTCTCTCAATTTTACGATGCTTAGGTTGTAAGCAAATACAAGGACTCAATATCACAGTGTCATCAAGAATCTGGTCAAAATATTGTAGCCACAAGTTCTAGAATCAACAACGAAGATATAATTCTTTACACTTTAAATGTTCTACAACAAAATTATCAAATTCTTAAAACTGTCATTAAAATCCAATTACATACAATTAGTTTGGAAGATTTTTACTCATTACTACATAGCGAGGAGTACAATTTGGCAAACAAATCTACCAAAATCATACAATGCTTAACTCTAGTTACATATAAAGGCAAAGGGAGTTTTCAGAACAACAAAAATTTTAGCAAAAACTCTTACTAAAAAAAATTTCAAAACAAAAACACCCATAAGAAAGCCAATACCACTATAAATTGTTAGATTTGCAATAAGTAATATCTCTCGGCCAATGTCTTCTGGCATAGAACCAATTTATAATATAAAGCATCATCCACACCTTCCACCACAGCCCTTACCAATCAAACTTAGACCCAAAGTCAAGACTAGGTCCTCAATACTATAGGAACAACACATATTACTCCACACCTAGACAACTCACAACAAGTTGCTCCATATAATGGCTTAGATTAAGTGGAAGTTGGTAATGGAAGAAGTGTACAAATTGCTCATGTGGGCAATGGTATTATTCCCACACCCATCAGTAAGCTTAAATTATCTCCCCTATTTAAAGCTCCTCATCTCACTTATGACCTTTTTTCTTTTCAAAAACTAACTCAAGATATTAATTGCCAAGTCATTTTTTGCGCTAGCAAATTTTATATTTAGGATCAACCACCAAAAAAGTTCTCTCTAAAATTGCTGATCAAGAATTATACCTGATCATAACTATTACCATTATCTAAAGTTCTAACATTTAACACCAAGGATTGGGCCACCTCCACAATAAAGTTCTTTCAAAGATCTCTCACTCATATCCTCACCTCAAAAAATTTCCTACAATTTAAACCATTTAAGATTGTAATATAAAATAAACTCACAAACTTCCATTCTTTAGTAGTTCTTCTACTTACAATTTATTAGAATTATTTCATTTAAAAACTTGAGGATCTTTTCCTCATGCTTTTGTTGAATGATAGAGAAATCATGTCACCTTCTTTGATTTGTTTTCTCATTTATGTTGGTGTATTCCTTTAAAGCATAAATTTGAAACTACTTTTCATTTCATTTCCTTTCATAAAATGATTGAAAATCATTTTCACAACAATATAAAATAATTATGAATAGATGGAGGTGGAGAATACATGCCACATGATCTTAATAATTATTTACAAGATCAAAGCATTAAACTTCAATTCACTTGTTCATACAAACCAAAACAAAATAATTCTGTTAAAAGAAAAAATATACATTGAAATTGTGCGCACTCTTTTTAACACTACACAACTTACTCTAATATTTTGGGTAGATGTTATTCAAATAACTAACAACCTCATTAACAGACTTCCCTCTTCTATTACTCACCATAAGTCCCCTTTTTAATTTCTTCACCATTCTAAACTTGAATATCAACACATTAAAACCTTTGGGTGCCAATGCTTCCCTTGGCAATCTCAGTATATCTCCCACAAATTTTATACAAAAGCTTTTTGATGCAATTTTCTAGGATATAGCCCACACCACAAAGGATATAATTATTTTGATATTTAGAAAAAAAAAAGTATATTATCTCAATACTTATCAATTATGTAAAATAAAATGAAACCTCAGCTCTGTTGCAATATTTCTTATTATCCCTTTACTCATAACTTTAGCTACCTCCAAATAGTAGGAAATTCAACAACTAGATGTCTCAATTTTTTTCTTACACGGAAAACTTGATGACACTATTTTTATGGCTCAACGTCTAAGTTTTACTGATATGAACTACCCTCACTATGTTTGCAAATTACATAAAGCCATTTATGGGTTGAAGCAAGCTCCCAAACAATGATATTCTAATTTTTGCAATTTTTATAAATTTTAAATTTTATTTAAGCATTGTTGATCTCTCTCTTCTCATATATAATCGTAATTTTATTCTCATTTAATTACTAGTTCTTGTAGATGACATATTAATTACGAGAAATTCTACTATAGCTATCAATAACCTAATAAGCACTCTCAACAAACAATTTAACTTAAAGCAATTAGGTGCACTCTCTCATTTTCTGGGCTTACAAATCACCAAAACTCCTAAGGAATATTTTTTAAATCAAATTTTATTATTTAATTGAGTTATTAAATAAAGTAGGAGTGTCTCAAGCTAAACTCATTTTAACCTCTCTTTCCACTCATTCCAAAAAACAACTTGTCATTTCACACCAACAACTAAATCTGATAAGTACAAAAAAAAAAAATCATAGGCTCATTGCAATATCTTGTTGTCACCCAACCTGGTATAACTTTTATTGTAAACTATCTAGATCAACACATGCATTAGCCCACTCTTTTACATTACCAAAACCTAAAAGACTTCTTAGGTACTTCAAAGGCACCATCACCTATGGTCTACCAGTTACCATTGGTTCTATGCTTTTAAGTGCTCGTGTTGATGTTATTTGGGCGAGTGACATTATCGATCACAAATCTATCTTTGGCTTTTACATTTACAATGGTCATAAAATTCCACATATTTTAACATCTTGGTCAATTTGGTTCCATAAACTCTCAAGAGCATTCTCAAATCAAGATTTATAGTATATAATAATTCTCATATCTACTTTTCAATTATCATTTATTTAAGATGAATAACATCATTATTTAGTTGTTTAAGATTGCATTTTAAACCCCAAGCTCATAATAAGATTATAAATCATATTTCTTGTTGTGTACATCTTATAACCATCTTTATAGCTTGATGTCTTTGGAACATGATTTCAAAGTAATTCAAGCATGATACCAACAAAGTCCAAAGAATATTTGAACAAAATACTAATATATTTAAAACATGAATTTATAACCCATGCATTGCCAAGAGTTGCCAAGAGAGAATTTCAAAATTTTATTAACAAAGAGAGAATTTGAATATTTGCCCACCCTAAAAATATGACTTTTCCCAATTGCTCCTTTGTAAGGCTGCAAATGAACACATGAGAGTTGGTTTAAGCCCAATTTTAATTAGCTATGTATATCAGGAATATGCCTGCATAAATCTTTAGATGACACGAGATTAGCTAAGGAGGATTCATGTTCGAGCATTCATCATGAAATTAGTTGGGCCATGAATCTGACTGAAGGATATTGACTTGCCGATCCAAAACCACATGATTATGCAATGATATTTCAGCTAGCATGTGCCATTACAAAAGATCAACATTCGATTGAAGACCTTTCAATTGACTGAAGATTGCTCAGTCGGTCAAATGATAATGGGTCGATTGAATGAATGTCGAAAGTCTAATATAAATATGAAGGGAAATTAAAAATAGTCATAGAAATGGGTGACAACAACGATTGTTATATGGACAAAATATCTCCTATTTATTTACATATATTTAAAGTTTTAATGGACTATAAATTGTAGTAACATTCACATTAAATAAAGAGACAATCATGTAATTTGTAAATTTTTACTGAAGAGTTATAAATAGAAGGAACATTGTCACTAGGAAGGGTTCAAAAAAATATCCAAAAAAACTAAGTATTACTTGTGTGCTCTCTCTGTTTCGTTCATTTGAGTAGTGTTTTGTTCTATAGGTGTGATCCACAAGATAATTTAGGATCCAACATCCTAAAAAGTGCGGTGAGCGTGGA